GAGAGCTTTGGATGAATGACATGTGGAGGCGCTTTAAAAACAGCACCACCGGGCCGAGCCCGTGGCACACTTGGGAGAGTGCAGCGCTGGGAGCGCAGCAGCACTCCCACCGCGGGTTCGGATCCTATATAGGGATGGCTGCTGTGCTCACTAGCTGAGCGAGGTGCGGCCCGTCTCAAAAAACAAAACAAAAAAAACAGCATCACCGATCTTTTTACTATCTCTATAGTTTTGCCTTTTTCAGAAAGTCATATAGTAGGAATCACACAGCATGTAGCTCTTTCAGACTGGCTTCTTTCACTAAGCAATGTGCATTTAAAGTCTCCCATATCTTTTTGTGGCTTGATAGCTCATTTCATCATGAATAATATTCCATTGTATGGCTGTATCACAGTTTATTCATTCACCTTTTGAAGGACATCTTGGTTGCTTCCAGGTTTTGGCAATCATGAACAAAGCTGCTGTAAAACTCACGTTCAGGTTTTGTGTGGACATAAGTTTTAACTCCTTTAGATAAATACCGAAGAGCCCAATTGCTGGATGTGGTAACAGTATGTTTAGCTTTGTAAGAAACTGCCAAACTGTCTTCCAAAGTGGCTGTACCATTTTGCATTCCCATAAGCAATGAAAATAGGAATGAAAGTTCCTATTGCTCCACATCTTCATCAGCATTTGGTGTTGTTAGTTTTTATTTTAGCCATCTTAATAGGTGTGTAATGGTATTTCATTGGTTTTAATTTGCGATTCCCCAATGACGAAGTTGAGCGTCTTTTTATATGCGTATTAGTTGCCTGTATATCATCTTTGGTGAGGTGTCGGTCAGATCTTTTGCCCATTTTTAAATTGAGTTGCTTTCATATTGTTGAGTTTTAAGAGTTCTTTGTATATTTTGGATACAAGTTCTTTATCTGAAATGTGTTTTGTAAATGTTTCCTCCCAGTCTTTGTCTTGTCTTTTTCATTCTCTTCACAGTGTCTTTTACTGAGCAGAAGTTTTTAATTTTAATGAAGTCAAACATATTTTTTTCTCATGAATCGAGCTTTTGGTGCTGTGTTTAAAAAGTCATTGCCAAGGGGCCGGCCCGGTGGCGCACTGCTACAGTGCGCCGCTTGGGAAGTGCGGCGGCGCTCCCGCTGAGGGGTTGGGTCCCACATACAGACTGGCCACTCACTGGCTGAGCGAGGGGCGGGAGCAACACCGAGGGTTGCGATCCCGTTGCCGGTCCCGGTCCGGTACGGGCGCAACACTGAGGGTTGCGATCGTTGCCGGTCACGAAAAAAACACAAAAAAAAAGGAAAAAAAAAAAAAAAAAAGAAAAGTCATTGCCAAACCCAAGGTCACCTAATTTTCTATGTTATCTTCTGGAAGTTTTATAGTTTTGTGTTTTACATTTAGGTCTCTTATCCATTTTGAGTTGGTTTTTGTGAACGGTACAAGGTCAGTGTCTAGATTCATTTTTCTGCATGTGGATATCCAGTTGTTCCAGCACCCATTTGTTGAAAAGACTAAACTTTCTATGTTGAATTGACTTTGCTCCTCTGTTAAAGATCAGTTAACTATATTTGTGTGGGTCTATTTATGGGTTCTCTATTTGTTCCACTGGTCTATTTGTCTATTCTTTTGCCAGTAGCACACTGGCTTATTGTAGCTTTATAGTCTCGAAGCCAGGTGGTGTTAATCCTCCCACTTTGTTCTTCTTCAGCTTTGTGTTGATTATTTTGGGTTGTTTGCCTTCCCACTTAAACTTTTGAATCAGCTTGCTGATATTCACAAATAACTCCTGGGATTGTGATTGAGATTACATTAAGCTATAGATCAAATTAGAAAGAACTGATGTTTTAATATTATACTGAGCCCTCCTATCCATGAATATGGACTATCTCTCCATTTATTTTGATCTTCTTTGATATCTTTTATCAGTTTTATAGTCTAACTTACATAGATCTTGTACATATTTTGTTAGACTCATACCTAAGTACTTTTTTGGGGGGCTGAGGGCTGAATAGTTGGAGCACAGGGTATTTTTAGAAAAGTGAAACTATTCTGTGTGACAGTGTAACAGTAGATACATGACATTCATTTGTTTTTGTGGCTGGTCAGTTCAGGATCTGGACCTGTGACTTTGGGGTTATAAGGCTGAGCTCTAACCGCCGAGATAACCAGCCAGCCCCCATGACATGCATTTGTCAAAACCCATAGAAATGTACAACACAAAGAGTAAACCCTAATGTAAACTATGGACTTTAATCATAATGTATCAATGTTGGTTCATTAGTTATAACAAATATATCACACTAATGCAAGATGTTAATAATAGGGAAGACTGAGCTGGGGAGAGAGAGGTATGTGGGACTCACCTTACTATCTGCTCGATTTTCTGTAAGCCTAAAACTGCTCTAAAAAATAGACCTTTTTTTTTAAACAGAATACCAACTCCAAATGAAAGGGAGCTCCTAGTGAAGCATTCCAGTGGCTCTGGCTTTCCTACAGAATCACGTCTATGGTCTCTCACTAAGCACACGAAGTCCTCCACAATTTGATTTCCCCTCCAGCCAAAATGAATCACTCAAAGCCTATGAGGGAATCTGGGACTTTGCACTACTCCCTTGGCCTGGAACACTATCCCTCCCTTGCTTGGTCTGGAAATGTCTTGAAGAAGCTTCCACAGACTTCAGTTTGGGAACACAGAGGAATGATACCAGCCCATAGCACCTGCTTTATAATACTACCTATTGTGTTTAAGGCAGGACCTCTTTCCTGTCTGTCTCCTATACAAAACCAAGCTTGACAGGCTAGCCTCAGCATGGTTCTTTCCAAATGTACAAACAGAAAAATCAGAAAGTTTCAGCAGTGAAACTACCATTCCCACAGCACTGAACCACAGTTCCCAAACTGTGCATCAAGACACCTTAGGGTGCCACAGGGAATTCACAGGGGGCAAAGTAGGATATTTTAAATTTAAGAGATACCAAACATCTACTGGCTACCAAGAGAATTGCTAGCTCAAGGTAGTTCACAGTTTCATTATTAGATTGTGCTACATTCCTTTTGATTATGTCATCTTTAAGAAGCTGAGTTTTTAGTGGCTGCTGTGATAAAAAGCAAATGAAAGTCAGTGTGGAACAGGAAATGGGGGGTAGCAGTGTCTACTCTGATTAGAAAGTTTAACAAGTTGTGCAGCACCCAACAGGCACACAGATCCCATTAGTAATGACAGTTAAGAATGAATAAAAATATTGTTTCTTCCAGTTTATGTGTATTATTTTTTAAATGGCAACTAACTTGTTAGGACATCATTACTTAGGTGATTTGGACTTAGCTACTTAATAAATTGAACTGTTAGGTATTTCTTTTAGCTTAGGGTTCCATGAAAAAGTTACGGAGATGCCAATGGTGCTGTGAGCCGAGAAAGTTCGGGAACCTCTGGTCTAAGAGATCATCTAATCCAGGGCACACCAAAAAAAATGCAGGTTGTGAAATCAATTTAGTGGGTTACAACCAGTATTTTTTTCCCCCTAATAAAACAGAAAGGTAAATAGAGCACATTGCATGTAGCAAGGGTAAGTATTATTGCATAAAAACTTTTGTTCACTGTATACATACAAGTACGTACGTATACCTTGGGTCACAATGTAAAATGTATATTCCTTATTTAGGTTCTGAGTTTAAAAGTTTGCAAAACCACTAAGACTCCAAGCCCCTTATTTGACAGAGGAGAAAGCAGCTGGAGAGTGGAAGCTGATTACTGCAAATCACAGCCACCGGTGCTGGGTTCAGCATTCAGCCCTAATGGGCTGGGTGGCCACTGCTCACAGTGACCCTACAAAGTAGGCCTCACTCTGCTCGGTAGAGGTGTGATTACTCAAAGTCACAGAGCTACAGAGGTGAGGGACCAGGTGCCCTCCCTTTGGTCCCAAGACCCATTTGCACCCCACAAATGCCACCAGCCACACCTAGAACAAAATGGTTTTAATCAATTGCGTCACCCTCACTCTCCTGGGAGCGGAGCAACAAAAAGGCTCGGCTCCTGCCCCCAGAGGACAGTAAGGCTTATGTGTCTCTCCATACTGCAGGGCCCAGGCTGGGCAGGCGGGGAGCGGGAGGTGGGGCGGGAAGGTGGGAGGCAGGGAGGAAATGGCCGGTGGCTGGAACACAGGAAAGCAAAGGGGGCCCGGCTGGTCCTTAGGCCCAGGGCCCAGCCCCAAAACTCCTGCTCTCCCCTCCCTGGCTAGAGAAAGGTCATGGAGAAGAGACAGGGGAGCAAGTCCCAGCAGCAGGAGAAGCAGCAGCAGCTGTTTCCTTCACCAATAAATATACTTCATTACCAAGCTAGAGGAGAGGGGTGGGAAGAGGGACTGGGATGGGGAGGAAGGGGGAGAAGCTGCCACCTGTGTTGCTGGGATTAAAGCATGAGATGGCGCCAGGCCCCCCCCCCTTGAGGCAGTCCCTCAGGGCATCGTAGTGGTCACCGTCCCTGGAAATGCAGGGGAGTATGGCTTGGAGGTGGGGCCACATAGCAAGCAAGGAGTCCCCACTCAGTCTCCTCTGCTTCCTGTAGCCACCCCAGCCCACCTCTGACAGATCTCAGGGTGAGGGGACTTGGGGATGAAGAGAATCCTGGCTCAGCCCCAGCCTCCCTCCCCAGGAGACAGCATATGTTAAGGAGCAAGCCAGGAACCCTGAGGTCTTGGAGATGGCAAAAACCGGTGTCAGGCTGCCCTCTGCTGGACACAGAGTGCAACTGTGCACTCATTACCACAAGCACCCGCAGCTCTGCAGCAGAAGGCCTGGCATCTTGCCCAACTCAGGCTCCCCAAGCTCTCCTTCTCTCTTTCTCCATCCACCTCCTCAAATCCCCCTGGCTGGCCTTCAAAGCCATGTCCAAGGCAGGGGGCTCGTATAACTTCGTATAATGTATGCTGCTCTGAAGCCTGACTGAGAGGAGGCACCTGGCAGAGACAGGGGTGGAGGGAGGGAGGGAGGGAGGGAGGCTGCTTCTCCCCAGAGGCTGCAGCTGGAGGGCTGGAGCCAAGTGAGCACTGAGGGGGAGGGGGAGGGGAGGAAGGACGAACCAACTCCCAGGAGCAGCACGAGCTAAGAGCCCGGGGTAGAGGGTAAAGGGGAGGCTTGGTGAGTGGTGGGGTGACGCTGCATCCAGTGTAAAGCTTGGGGCTGCTGAGGAGGGAGGGGCCGAGATGGGGACTTTCCCATCCCAGTGGCTCAGGAGACCCACCCCCTCCCCCCAGAGCAGCAGGGGACAGAGAAAAGCCATCACTTCTTTGGTCTTTGTGGCGGCTCAGCATGTGGGGTGGGAAGGAGGGCAGAAAGGGCAGAGAAGGGCCCTTAGCAGGAAGCGCCACCTCAGCAGAGCAGGCCTGGCTGGGAGCTCTGGCAGAAAGGTCACAGTGAGGCTGAGGAGCGCCCAGAGGAGAGTGGCCGTAATGCGGAAGTGCTGGCATGGCACGAATGGGGGTGGGGGGTATGGCGCAGTGTCCCATCCTCTGCCAAGGCCCTCAGGAAAGGCAGAGCCCCCAGAGGTGGCCAGTGAGAGTAGGCATAGGGCCAGTGCAGTGCCCAGGAGGGGCAAGGATGCCCCACTGCAACCAGGGCAAAGAGCCTGGCCTTGTCCACACCAGGGCTTCCATCTTTCCTTTTGCTTCCACTCTAACACTGCTGGCTCTGGCAGGAGGGTGTGGGACCCCACCCTTTTTACAGAACCTTCCCTGAAGACCACGGGGGAGCTGGCCCTGCAGGCCAGGGAGCAAGAGTGGCAACAGGCCAAGGGTAGCCCTTACCAACTGGGAATTCCGCGCCCCTTCCTGCTGCCAACTGAAGGGCAGGACAGTCCTCGAAGACAGTTTCAGCCCTCGCCTCCCCATCTGAGGCAGAAGGGGTTCTGAGGCAGGCCAGAGCCCTCCAGAGACATGGAAGCAGGAGGTAGGGCCATTTGGAGAGGCTTCCCCTCCTGTACTGCTCAGGGCTGGGGACAGTCAAGGGACAATCATCCCAAGAGTCTGAAAGCCAGCAAGTTGTAGCAACCCCTACCCCCAATGCCAAACTAACAAACGAAACAGGGAAAAAATGAAAAAATGGGGGTGGGGGTGGGGAAGACAAACCAAAACAGAACCCCCTGACCTCTTGCTCAGGGTGGAAGGTCCAGCCAGTAGCAGGGGCTGGGGACCGGGGCTCGGAGAGCCTAGCTGGGCCGGCACTGCACCTGGCCCTCGGAGCTGTCCTCATCGTCAGAGGCCCCAGCACCCCCACTACTCAGGCCTGTGATCCGGTAGCCCATGTTGAGCAGCATCACCTCCAGGGGGTCTGCGTTCATGCGCCGCTGGTTGGCCTGAGAAGCGCCCTCCATGTCCTCCACAACTCGGCCTGTGAGGTCTTCGCTCTGTGGTGGGGGAGGGGCAGTGCAGGTGGGCTCAGGGCGGGGGGGACACCAGGATGCAGGGGGGAGGCACAGAGGCACATATGCTGAGATCCATGTGCGGGGGTGGGGAGGGAGATGCACAGGCTGAACTATGCACATGGGGGGTGTACACAGCAGGAGATGGATATAGGTGGAGGGAAGCACACATTCTGGGATGTATGTGGGGGTGGGGGTGGGGGCGTACACACACCAAGATACATAAGAGAGAGAGGACACACCACACTGGGTTATACACATACGGGGGGTCCCACAAAGTGAAACACATTGGGAGAGAATACACACACACTGGGATGTATATGGGAAGACTACACACACCAGGGTATACATGGGGGGATATACCACATCAGGATATATATGAGGGGACATACCACACTGGGGATATATGAGGGTACTTCAAAAAGCTCATGGAAATATTTATATTATCTTTCCATTCCATTTTACTATGAGCTCTTTGAAGTACCCTTTATATGGGGAGGAGCACGCACAGGGTATGGGGGGCAGGCATACTGGGATACGGGGAGGGGGGCTGCGGCAGATACAGCACCCCAACCTCACTCTGTTCTGTTGCCAATCCCAACAACCCTTCCTTTATTTTTCTTTTTCCTGTTCCCTCTTTAAAAGATGCAGAAAATTGGCCCTGGAATCAGATACCCCACTTGGCTTCTGTTTTGCCAGCTGGGAAGGGGGTGAGGTGGGGCAGAGGGGCACAGGGCCTCAGGCTGGCTCGCCTGGCCACCCACACTGGGAGTGGAGGGGACCACACTATCCTAAGTGTCTGCATGGGCCAGACAAGGCACTTCTTTAATCCTCACAACGACCTTTTGCGGCAGTGCTGTCATTGCCATTCCAAATGTACAGATGATAAAAATCTGGGTCAGAGATGGTTAAGTCTCTCGGGCAGTGAGTGAAGAGGCCAGATTCAAACTTAAGCCCACCAGAGTCCAAAGCCTGCATAGCTCCCTTGTGACTGAGGGACTGGCCTCTGCACAGCTTCTGGGGGACATACCACAGTGGTCTATGAGGCACCCTTCTCATGAGGTGGGCTGGAGCCGGTCTGGTTCCCCCTCTGCCCTCCTGCATCCCTGTCCTTGGTACTTGTGTGTCTCACCTTCCTATATGTGCATCTCACCTTTACAGCTAGCTCAAGGATATGCTCCTTGAAGGCAGGAGCCAACTCTTGCCCCCTCAAATGCCCACTGCATTTGAAACTTCCAGAACCTGAGAGCCGCCACACAGCCTGGGGCCCTTGGCCCTTACTCATGCTAGCCATCTCTGTGTGGCTCATTTCTCTCCCCAGCTCTCGCAGGCTTAGCCATAGGCCTTGCACCGTATCCCTGCCTTCCTCCCTGCTTGGCTTCAGCCACCCTGCCCACATCCTCACCTCTGGTCGGGGGTTCCAGAGCCGCACAACAGGGTCGATGCCACTGGTGGCCAGGAAGCAGTAGCTGGGGTGCGGCTGCAGACAGTTGACGATGGACTCATCCCCCTGGAGCACGCGGACCAAGTTGGTGGTCTCCTTTTCCCAGATGAAGAAGGAGCCATCGTCAGAGCCACTGACGATGTATTGAGCGTTGCTGGCGGAGGGGCAAAGGGTAGGGAGGTCAGGTGGGGTACTGCCCCTTGGTGTAGGGCAAGGGGGAGCAGGGAAGTCTGGAGCCACTCAGTCCCCACACTCTGAGGTCTGCACTTGACTCAGAACTCCCACACACATGGTGATGCTCTCCATACTGCAGAGCCCTAGTCACTGTTGTCTTAAACCCAGGATCAGTGACTATCTGCCTGGGGCCTCCAAGACAGCCTCCCCCAAAGTACATTATCACCTCCTTGGTGCCAGGATCAGATCTTACACCTCAGGTCTCTAAAGACACCCTCGTCTAAGCCTTCCCTGAACAGTCCTAGGTGTCTTGGATCCAGACCCCCAAATCCTACAGTATGTCCACAGTTCAGTACAGACCTTCACATGCCGTTGACATTTATAGGGATTCTCAATTATTCTCATGTCTCACCTACCCAGAGAAAGTGAAAATATCTACAAAGGAGGGTTGGGGGTGATGGTGTCTGAGATACGGGCTTTGTCCTACAGTACCCAGGGCGTAGATCTGAGCACTCAGCAGGTGTGTGCCAAGACTCCCAGCCTCTGAGGGCTCTTGCCTAGTACCCCATCAGAGGCAGGCTATGAACATCCAGATAAAGGAACCAAACTCTGGCACGTGCTGACAGAGGGAGAAAGAGGCGGGGATAAAGGAATAGTCCAGGCGCTGCACTGGGTACTTTACTTGGAATACGGCCTCATGAGTGGGTGTGGTTGGTTTCATTCATAGATGACGAAACTGAGGCTGACAGAAATGAAGCCATTTGCCCAAAGGGACAGAGGCAGAGCTAGGACCTGAGATCCTTTTGTAGAACATTATTCCCCCAAACCCAACCTCCCCCAAACATCCTGCTGCTAACTGAGCTGTGCCCTCCTCCTCTTCAGGGCCTCAGACCTGCCAAAGAAATTGGCCTCCTTGATATCCGTGGTGGTGTTGCAGTGGCCGCAGTAGCGGAACTGATAGTCATAGCTTCGCTCTCGCAGCACCATCTCGTCCTCTGAGATGGAGTCCTTGCGGCTGGTGCTGCGGAGGCGGACTGGGCCACCACCAGCTCCCTTCTTCTCCTCTGCGGGCACAGATCAAGGAGAGGTAAGAGTCCTGTCCCTCTCTCCCCTGCCCCATCTTTTCCTGATGGTCCTGTTGTCAGCCCAAGTACTTGCAATGTAGGGCCACTTGCCTCCACCCTTACCCTGGAAAATCAGGAAAAGGCTGTGGGGAAGATGCATCATTGGATCCAGCCCCTGAGGATGTTCAAGAGGAGAAATATGATGCCAGGAAGGCTCTGGTTCAGCACCCTGAATAAAGGCCTGGAAGCCCCAAGGATGCATGGATTAAAAGTCTGTTTCTGTGGAGGTGAGAGGCCAGCGAGGGAGAGTGAGGCACTAGCCAAGACAGCCCTGCATGGATGACTTTTATAAATATATTTGTAGCTCTAAGGCAATAAGGACCAAGCCCTTACCCTCTGGAAGACAGTTATTATGGATCCCAACTGAGGCACTGGTCAGCTAAATGACAGGTAAAATCACCAGTTCTCTCAGTTCCTTAAAAGTGCCTTGTTCCTACCTACTTCAGGGCCTCTGAATGTGCTGGTTCATCTGCCAGGAGCTCTTCACCTCCCACAGCTACACTTTTATCTAGTTATTTCTTCCTGCACATCCTTGAGATCTTAGCTTAAATGTCTCTTCTTGAAGGACCCCAGACTGCCATCAAGCCCTCCCCCCAATACTCCTGTACCATTCAGGTCCCCATGGCACTTGCCATACTCCTTATTTCTCCTCCATGGCTTGGCTTCTTCACTAGGCTGTAAACTTCATGAACACAGAAATCCCATCTGTGCTCAGAGCTGTACTCCCAGGACCCAGCACAGTACCTGGCACATGGCAGGTGTCTGCTGACTATTCATTAAACAAATGAATCAATCACGTGGTTGGCAAATTGCAAAGAAGAGAGGTGAGGACCCACGTCTGCCTCTAGTGAGCCCACCTTTCACATTTATAGGCCATGCTACAATGACCCAGTTTGCTCTCCAACACTTCCAAGGTGAGCCAGGCAGGCTTCGTGTGCTCTTTGTGCAGATAAGGCAGTGGGTTCAGAGAGGCCACACAGTTACCATACGGTAGAGCTGAGATTGGAACCCTCAGCCCCAAACTCCATGCCCAAGGCATGTCTACTGCCCTGTGCTGCTGTCTCTCCTGCACTTGTACAAACCTGAACAAACCCAACAACCAGCAACTGCCTCTCTCCCAGATCCCCAAGCAGAGCCACCAAGGCCCTGTCTGTGGGCAGGCGAGAATGCCCAGCTGGAGCTCCCACAGCCTAACTGGGCTCAGCTTCCTCCTATCCCGAGAACCAGGCACTACAGCAGGTATTTTAAATACTCAGCTACTGCTAAACCTCAACAGAAACTCAGTGGGGGGTGTCAGCATTTCCCCTTTTCAGATGAGGAAACTGAGTTTCAGAGAGACCAGATGACTGCCCCAAGGTCACATGGTTTCAGAGTCAACACCTGAATCAGGCCTCTCCAATCCCAGAATGGAGTCCTCTCCAGAACGTCATGCAACTTCTCAAATAGAAAGAGTGACAGGCAACCCCTCCTCGTGCCCACTCACCACCATCATTTTTGGAGAAGAGGGCAGCCGTGATGTCACGGCCCAGTGCATCACAAGCGCTGCTGTGGGCCTGCTCTGGGAACTTTCCTTTGAAGTCATCCAGGCACTCCAGGGCTTCAGCCACATACTTGAGCTCAAATAGGCAGCGGGCCAGACGAAAGTGTGCCTTCAGGTGGCACGGGTTTAAGGAGATGGCCTTGAGGCAGTCCCTCAGGGCATCGTAGTGGTCACCGTCCCTGGAAATGCAGGGGAGTATGGCTTGGAGGTGGGGCCACATAGCAAGCAAGGAGTCCCCACTCAGTCTCCTCTGCTTCCTGTAGCCACCCCAGCCCACCTCTGACAGATCTCAGGGTGAGGGGACTTGGGGATGAAGAGAATCCTGGCTCAGCCCCAGCCTCCCTCCCCAGGAGACAGCATATGTTAAGGAGCAAGCCAGGAACCCTGAGGTCTTGGAGATGGCAAAAACCGGTGTCAGGCTGCCCTCTGCTGGACACAGAGTGCAACTGTGCACTCATTACCACAAGCACCCGCAGCTCTGCAGCAGAAGGCCTGGCATCTTGCCCAACTCAGGCTCCCCAAGCTCTCCTTCTCTCTTTCTCCATCCACCTCCTCAAATCCCCCTGGCTGGCCTTCAAAGCCATGTCCAAGGCAGGGGGCCCTCAAGGACAGTTCTGTGGTCTGGGGAAACCAGAAGTGCCAGGGCAGGGACTTAGGGTCTGACCAGCAGGAAGCAAGCCCTCAGCTAGACCCCCTTCTGTCCTGGCTGACTGATCCACAGCAGCTGTGGCCTCTACCTCCTGGGGCTGGAGGATGGGGCCTGACAGTCTGGCAGAGTCAGCTCTCTGGAAGCTGATGGCAGGGATTGGGAGGGGTATGCACGCCAGGAGCTCCAAATCATCCCTACTCACTTCTCCAACCTCCTAAAGTACAGATGAAGGGAAACAGGAGTGCTTTTGGCATGGGGGTTAGTGAGAAGAGGTCAAAGGAGAAGCCCCACCTTCTCCCACCCTGTGCCAGAATATAGGAGACACATTCCCCCGGCACCCGCAGACTTGTCTGTTCTCCTCATCTGGAGAGCCATACGGATGACAGGAGCCATTCCTCCTTTGGAAGCCATTGTTTTTTTTTTTCCTGCTGGGCTATGGTCTATGTCTAACTGTGCCAAGCAGTAAGCAGCTCTCCCTGGAGCTGATGGCCCCTCCAGCCAGGGCACAGCATACAACACTCTACATGCCCAAAGCAGGTCTGAAGGGATGGGTCCTCTGGACCCTCCTCTCCTACAGCATTCAGGAGCACCCAACCCTTCGAACAGCCACACTCAGACTAGGAACCATCAGCGCAGCCAGTGCGGGGGCAGGCAGGAGACAGAGCTGCTTTAATGGCATGACCTGCGTCACAATGAGTGGATGTGACGGAGGAGCAGGCGCTGTTTGGAAACCCAATTACCACCTGCAAGGTGCCCCTCCAAGATCCTGGGGAGAACCAGACCAGAGACCAGCCAGGAACCAGAGGGTGACAACTCCCACTGCATCCAAGAGCAGATGGCAGCCCTGGGGAGGCTGGCCTGGGACAGAATGTGACATTCTAGGGGTCACTGGCAGGCATGTGGCGATTGGGGGGGAGGAAGCAGGCTGGCCCCAGGGCTCACCCATCCTAGACTCACTGCCAGATCAATCTCCCTGAAAGGACAGCCCTCAGCACATCCCTCTCTTGCTCAAAACTCTCCAGTAGCTGCCCATCATGCACTGAATCCAGGCCAAACGCCACCGCTCTGCATTCCAAGCCCTTCCCAGGCCGGCCCCAGGCTACCTCACAGACTCATCTCCTGCCAGTCCCTTCCAGAACCCTCTGCTCCAGCCAAATGAATTTGCCGTTCTGCAAACAAGCTCTTCAGTCAGTCCCCCACCCCCATGCCTTTGTTCACACCATTTCATCTCCCTGGAATGTCCTTTCCCCACGGTCCCCTCCTCCTCTTCATCTCCATGTCTAAGCCTGCCCAAACTTACAGCCCATTCAGACACCACGTCTTTCTGATACATCCTTGATCCCCAGCTAAAGTGACCCGACTTTCCTTGATGCCCGCAGCACTTTACCTGACCATTCACAAGACTTACTGCTTCTTGCTCCTGATACTGAACTATGTCCATGACTTTATTTCCTGTCCAGAGGCTGGCCACTCTGGAGCACAGAAACTCAGTGACAGAACTGTGTCCTTGGTACTGAGCAAATAGGAAGCTCTGAGAACATGTCGAGGACATACATGGATTGCGAAACCACCAACCTCTCTTAGCAAGAATGCAGGAGTGAAGCTGAGCTCTCAGCCTACAGCCTGGATGAGGGCCACGGCATACTACCCAACTATTGAGACAGAGAGGCAAAACACCTCAGGATGGCCCCCAAACAGTCGTCTCCTGGGTTTGGCTGCCACCTAAGCCCTTGGCAAACTCCTGATGCCTCAGCTAAGGCCTGTCGGGGTAGCATCTTCCACAACCCCCACCTACCATCCTGCTGACTTGGGTGGGTTTCTTAAGCTTCCCTCTCTGGCCTGCCTAGTTGCAGCCAGACGATGGCACACCAGCTGGCCTGTCTGTCTGGGCAGAGCCGTCGGATGCCAGACGGAGCAGAAATGGCTGTGGGCCCAGCTCTATCCATCTCCAGTCCTGGCCCTGGCAGGGGGATGGGGGTCTGCCTGTCTGCTTGCCTGCTGGTGCTGCAGGCAGAAGGGCTTGGGGCCCTGAGGGTCTCCAAAGATGAGGGGTTCTTCAGGACATGGACCTACTCCTTTACCACCAGCCACCATACCCCAGCATAACCCACAGTCGGCTTCACCTCTCTGGGATCTTGTTTGTGCTTGGTCCAAAGGGTCTAAGAGCCTTGTGGCAAGGAGCGCAAAATCATTTTAGACAGATACCAACTGAATTCATCAAACCCCTCATTTCCACCTAGCAAGATTTCACCGCTCCTTCAAAGTGCAAGTCAAGGCCCAATTCTTCTACAATCAGGATTAACCATTCTCTCAACAAGAACTTCCCCAGTGGCCAAAGCACTTTATAACAAAGCACCATGTTGGAGCTACTTGTGAGCATGTTCCACTTACTGTGAGCTTCCTCGGTGCTTGAGACTTCCTGATTAATGGGTCAGGTGCCTGCCCACCATCAACCTGGTGGTGGGGAGAATGCTTGAGACTTCCTGATTAATGGGTCAGGTGCCTGCCCACCATCAACCTGGTGGTGGGGAGGAGAGGCCTGGGCCTCAGAAGCCCTAAGAGGCAGCAGGGTATCACTGCCACCTTCCCTGGATGCCTAGGCAATGTGGCTCCAGCAGGTGCCCTGTCCAGTTACTTTATCCCTTGTCCGGACCAGGTCCCTCCTGTAGTGCCCACTCACCACTTGCGCTTCATGTAGGCGGCAGCTCGGTTTCCATAGAGCATGGCATTGTGAGGGGCCCTCTGCACAGCCTTGCTGTAAAGCTGAATGGCCTGGGTCCACTGCTGGCAGGCAAAAGCCTCATTGGCTTGCTGTTTCACACGCTCCAGGTATGGGGGCAGCTCTACTTGGGGGCTACAGGGGAAGCAGAGCCAAGTCAGACCAAAGAAGGTCACAGCAGCCCCTCAGGAAGTCTGTAGTCCTGCCTGAGGGTTGACCCAGGTTTTCTTGGCCCCTGGGATCTGTACTGCCATCTAGAGGAGGGGACCACTCCTATCCGTGGCCTGGGTTATTAGCTATAACCATGATAGGAAATAGGCACAATTCCAAATACTCTGAGCCAGTGAAAAAGAAGAGGCCAGAAATGAAGCTGTCCTGGACAGGTTTAAGATGTCTCTTAAACTCCTGGCCACGACAGTAGCTGACATCACCTTCCTCCACACTGAGCTGAACCTTATGACCACCCAGACCCCTCCTATGGATCTCTCTACAGAGAATTCTGTTCCTGTCAGGTGCTAGAGATTTTGAACACCTCTGTATCCAAAGGCCAGCACAGAGCCTGGCAGAGAACAGAGGCAAGAATATGCTATAGGATAAGAAATAATGTAATGGGGGAGGCCCATCTGTCTGGAACCACTTTTTGGAGAGAGTGCAAAGCTAAGAGGCAGTTAGCCCCTGGGTCCGGACCCCACCTACTGGTACCAAAGGACTGGAGCTACAGTCTGAGCATGACTAGTGTCCTACTGGGTAGGAGTGGACCACTAGTGGCCCTCCAAGAAGCCTCTTTTCCCTAGTCCCACCCTCTAGGATATGTGCATGTCACGAGGAAGATTTACAGGATATGCCCTTCCTTCTAGTCCATAGGTGTAACTGGGGCTTAGAGGACTAGAGAAGACAGGTGGTCTCACCTGACATGTCCCCTGCTCTCTGGCAGCCGGAAGCCATTGCTGTGAAGGTGTAGGCCGTTGGACACACCATTGGACACACCGTTGGTGGACATCTTGCCATTCTGGACTTCTGGCAGGGGATGGGGAGAAAGTAACAGCAATAACTCAGGAGGAGTCCTCGTTTCTTCTTGGCAGCCCTCCAGCTTTCATCACAGGGTCTGTTAGTTCCATTGTGGCACTATTCTCCCAGGGTAAGATCCATTCCCAGAAAGCAAGTTCAGCAGGCCAGCAGGCAATGGCATAAAGAAAAGCCTGGGCGCCCTCTGCTGGCTGGCAGGGGACACAGCTTCAACTTGGAGTTAATGCTTAGTTAAGGGGGTATGGGGTGGGAATGGGAGGTGAGGAGATGCCTAAATCAACTGCAGGCCCCAGGAAGAAGTCAAGGTGAAGACTGAGCCAGGTTGAGAAGGGGAAGAGCACTACTTCAGGTCCTCAAGAGCCCAGCTGTGGTAAGAACCTGTCTTTTCAGAAGAAAGTGAAAAGGGCTGTGGTGCAAAGCTCTTGGACAGATCCCTCTGGCCTGCTGTTACCTTCCTTCCTTCTATACAGACAGGATTATTTCAGAGATCTGCTCTTTTTGGAGGATCACAGCCATAGTCCAGAGTAAGGGGCAGGCTTCTCAGTAGATGTATTAGCACTCAAGCACCCCCACCCCACCTCCACAGAGATACCCTAAGGGAGAACTTACCCCCTGAGGAGTGGCATTTTCTAGGCAAGAGGAAGGTGTATGGTCGCTGCTTGTAAGTCAAGTCAAACAAATAGACCTAGAGTTGGGGGGGGGGGTCAAGAAAAGAGATGGAGGATGTGGCTGGACCACTAGCAAGGCCTTGGTGGCTCTCAAGAACCAGGATCTTGGAACACAGTGAGAGTTCAGCATGAAACCATTGACCTAGCCCAGGCGATATTTCCAGGAAGCAAACCTCAGGCGAGAAAATCTTCCTACCTCCGGGCCCCCAGGGTGGGCTATTTGATGTATCCCAAGCCCTGCTTGAAATATTGTCATTAATTAGAATCACATGTTTAAGTTGGAAAGGTCCTCAGAGGTCACAAAACCAAATGTCTCATTTTACAGATGAGAAAACTGAAGCCTCAGAGACGGGAAGCAACTTGCTTAAAGTAACACTGCCAGTTACTTCTCTTGGCAAGTAAATAAATGTTATCTATTATTACTTAACATTTATTGAATTCTTATTTTGTTCCAGAACTCTGCTCAAGAGTTTTATTTTTATTGTTATTATTATTTTTTTTTTTTAAAAGATGACCGGTAAGGGGATCTTAACCCTTGACTTGGTGTTGTCAGCACCACGCTCATCCAGTGAGCTAACTGGCCATCCCTATATAGGGATCCCAACTCACGTCTTGGTCTTATCAGCGCCACACTCTCCCGAGTGAGCCACGGGTTGGCCCTGCTCAAGCGTTTTATATGACAAATCTCATTTCACCCTAGAAACCATACTATGAAGAGGCACTTCTACTATCATCATTCCCCTTACAAATAAAGAAATGTAGGCTCAGAGTTTAAATAATTTACCCAAGGTCATAAAGGCAGCATGTGGCACAGCCATGACTCAAACCCAGTCCTGCCTGGCTCCTAACCACTCTGCAGCCTGCCTTTGCACTCATCCCAATGCTACCGTCAGACCAGGTGATGGCTTAGCTCTGTGAAGCCAGAACGCTATTCTCAACTCAGGAGCTCACCTATTCTCTATCCATTTCTTTTGTTTATATTCATGCCTTACCTTGGAATGCCATCAACCGTTTCAGCCTGGGGATGGATCATATTTTGCATTTGTCTCCTTATGTTTATGATAATGCTAGTCCAGAGTAAGTGTTCATTGTTTGTAGAATAAATGAATTTATGCAAGGCTTACTAACTATCCTGACTGAGAGCATACACACAGAAAGTTTAGTAACCTACCATTATCAAAGAACACTTCCCAAAGCTGGCCCTAAACTACAGCTGGGTTGTGTGCTCTGAGCTCTAGGGATTTCCTACTCTGAAAATGGCAGATGAGGAAAACGAGGATCAGAAAAATTAAGAGACTTGCTCAAAGTCAGAGTACACAGCTAGTAAACAGCAGGCCAGCATTTGAAGACGGGTCTGTCCGTTCCAAAGCCTATGTTCTTAAACAAAATACCATACTATCATACATGCATCTAGTTCATTAAAGACAAAAAGAAAAAGAACAATACCAGGCTATGATACGTCTCTGGGAATTCCAATGATACCATGTCACTCCCACTTTTCACTGTAATGTCATTTGCAATGAGGCTGTTGCTTCTTGTCTGCCTCATGGTAGTGGGTGTAAAGTACACAGTCCTGGCTGCTGGACATGGGTTGGTGGTGGGGCAGAACCATCACAGGGCTGTACATACCTGTTCCCCTCCCATGTTGACTAGCAGCTCTGTGCCATTGGGGCTGAAGGTCACATAGGTGGCAACCAGCACTCTCAGACGGTTGTTGTAGTCAGGCAGCTTCACTGGCAGGTGACCTGCAGGGAACAGCCCAGTCACCCTAGGGTGAAGCTCTCAGTCCCCCTCAAAGGGGCAGGAGATTGTATGAAAATAGTCCTTTTGAAAATGATAGTAATCAACTTCATCATAAAAGCAGCTACAATGTTGAGCCCTCATTACATGCACTGGGCCATCTGTTTTACATTCTTTATCTCATTTAGTCCTCGCAACCCCATTTTACAGAAAAGAAACTCAACGAGGTTAACTAATTTGCTGAAGGTCACACAGCTGGTCAATGGCAGAGTGAGAATTAAAGCCCAGGCCTGTCTGACTCTAAAACCCTTGCTCTTGACCACCATGCCATGCTGCCTACCTGCACTGCCCCAGAAAGAGTCAGAATCCAGCTGAGAGTTTGGGGCTAGAGCTGGGCTGAGTCCTACCTGCTACGTAATACTGGGCTGCACCATCTGGAAGGGGCTTCTGCCGGTCACAGAAGGTGTGCACACCTGCTGAAGGGCTCTGCTTCATGCTCTTTCTGAGGGGAAGGAAAATCATATAGGTTAAAACCCTAGCACTACCCCTGGTGAGACCAGACCACAGTTCATGGAGGAAAACCTAAGTCTGTATCCCTGAAAGATACAGGAAGTACCTTTCTTCCTTACCTAAGCAACCCCAAAGGTCCATCAACTAGACAGCTGTGGACATGCATATGGTGCTTTACCCAGTAGGTCCTGTAAACTGTCTGGATCCTCATGACCACCCTGTCATCCCCATTTTACAGTAAGGCTCAAGGCTCATTCCAAGCCATGTAGCATTTGAGGGGCAGCAATGGTCACCTAAATCCACGAAAATAAAGCAGGCCAGACACTCCTGCACCTGTCCCAAGAATCATGGAAAGCCAGGCTGGAGGAGCCACTCAGGTCTGGGACTGCTGTGAGGGTTATGAGTATATTCTACTTTTGTTTTTTGGTTCTTTTTAAAGAATAAAATAAAATTACATGTACAAAAAGTTTTACACATACAAGATTATAATTCTGTACATAATCATAGTAAAAGAACTAGCATGAAATATTATATACAGTGATTTCTTAGAGGTGACGGGATTATGGTAATTCCTTTATTATACTTTTCATATTTTCCAAAACAAGCATAGATTAAATTTTTTTAAATCATGAAATTTTAAAAAAACCCACCTTAAAAAGAAGAGGGTTGAATGTCATGATGTGTATGAAAGAAAAAAAGAAACGGGATTATGGTAATTCCCTTATTATACTTTTCATATTTTCCAAAACAAGCATAGATTAAATTTTTTTAAATCATGAAATTTAAAAAAAACCCACCTTAAAAAGAAGAGGGTTGAATGTCATGATGTGTATGAAAGAAAAAAAGAGAAAGAAAAAGAAGAGGGCAATGAGGGAAAGGGGCAGCAGGTTCCCAGGGACTTGCCAACAGAAGGCTATTCATACCTGTGGTTGTGGATCATGCGAATGTCATAGAGCCTAACGAAGGGCCCACTGGCCCCTACCGCCAGGCAGTTGTTGTCCTGGGGGTTGACGGTGAGGCACTTGGCTTCCACCAGCTGGCCACAGTACTCTGTCAGGTCAATCAGCACCTCTGAGTGTTTACTGTTCTCCCGAAGGTCATACTGGCTGTGAGAGAGAACAGAGTTAGGACCCAGGGGTAGGGGTCTTTGTGTAGAAGGCAGGGGAGAAGCCTAGTCTCTGTTATGCAAGAGGATTGGGAGGGGCTTTTGACCTGTTTGTAAATAATAAGAATGTCAAAAGCCACTCTCATTTCTTGAGTACCCACTGTGTGCCTGGCACCTGTTGTAGGCTTCTCACACATTGTTTTATTCTAACATAACCCCTTAAGGCAGATACTACTGTACCCATTTTAAAGATGTCAGTATTATTGCTACTATTATACTACTATTGATTACTAGCAGTTTGTGAGAATAATCTTTGTGTCCTATGGTCCCTAAGTGTTTTACATGTATTTAATTAAATCCTAACATCATCCATAGGTACCATTAGAACACTGAGGTTCAAAGAAGTTAAATAATCTGCCTGGGATGACACAGCTAGTTAAGTGCAGAGCTAGGACAGCTTCCTAAAACTGAATTTTAATCTTTTTGCTTGGCTCCTTCCTAATCTAGCTTCTTTCAGGAAACAAAGGGAAGTATGGAGGTGACAGAAAAGAGAATCTGGAGATCATCTAAGAGCTACCTAGAAATACCAGGGGCCAAGGCAAGCCCAAAAGTCCCATCCACATAGAAAAGTTAATGGCAAAAAGTCCACCCAGCAGCAGCAAACTCCCACGGCTCCAGACTGGGAAACTTCTTTGCTGCCAATACACAGGTACCTTCAGAGAGTGAGCAGGGACATCACCCATGTGCTCACCCACCTCTCGCCTAGACATCTGTAATAATGTCTTTGCCTTGTCTTTCTAAGCCATCCTCACCAGACTATTCTTGCTAAAATATTGTTTTATATCACTCTCCTGACCAAAAATTTAAAGATGCCTCAATACCTTTAGCATGAGTTTACTTTAAGTTTACTTTTACCAAACTCCTCAGTCTGGTTCTCAAGACCTGATTTCACATATCTCTCCAAACTTATCACCCAGTTTGCTAAATGTGGATCAATTAAAACTACATAATTCTTTATCCTGTGCATACTGTGTTTATCCCTGCCCTCACAAACTCTGCTCAAGCTGGGGAATCCACTCTGCTTTTCCTTGCCCATCCAAATCTTGTCTTTTCTGGCAGGCCCAGCTTATGTTCACCTTCTGCTAGGGTACCTTGCCTGACTGTGCCTACACCTAAGTGCTTAGGATCCTACCCAAAGCCCTAGATGCTTAGCTTCTACCAGCTGGCCCTGGCACAGTCCGGTCAGTCAAGGTCAATAAGTGCAACACAGAGTCGGACCTGCACCTGACCAAATGTTTTCTGTCTTCTAAGTAGTACGCTAGGGCTTTACATGCACTATCTCAATTTTAATGCTCAGACCAACAGGAGAGATACTATGATTATTCTCATTTTACAGATGAGGAAACTGAAGTTCAGGGTGAAGTGACTTTCCCCAATCAAACACTGAGTGAGAGAGCTAGGATTTGACGCCAGGTCTGTCTGACTTCAGTGCCCTGATCTTAACTACTGTGTTATAGTTTATACATGGCTCAAATACTTCTCCTTTGTAACAGGGAAGAGGGCACAAAGTCCTATTGGAACTCAAAGGAGGGGGATTAAAGCAGGTCGGAGAGATAAGGAAAAAGTTCTAAGGTCACATCTCAAGGAAAGAATTAAGGAAGGTCAATGACACCATTTTAGGATGAAGGGAAGGAAGCAGAGGCAAATGTGTAACAATACAGGGCGTTGGAAAAGGGGATGGTCCACTTTACCATCTCTGGTTGGCTCTCCCCCCATCCCAGGCATATGCCCACTGGCCAGCTGTTCAAAAGAAATGTATCAAGGACCTATGTGTGCCAGGCACTATGCTGGGCTCTAAGGACACAACCAAGAACCAGACAGACATGGAATCGGTATAAGACAGTTTACTACTCGTGAGGATACAGACAAAAGAGGATAGAGACAAGCAAAAATTTTAAAACAGTACAGATGGTAATTGGAGTTATAGAGGATACAATTAGGGTACTGAAGCAAAGAATGATGTCTATCTACTTTAGACAGAATCAGCAGAGAATGTGCTCGTGAAGATGACTCAAGCTGATCTCCCTAAGGTAAGAAAGAGTCAGACATGGAAAGGACTGGAGACAGAGAATCCCAGGTAGAGGAAACAGCAAGTGTGAATGCCCACAGGTGGCAGAGACCCCAGGCATCTGAGGTGGTGAGAGAAGGCCAGAGGCCTGGAGGTAGTGCAGGGGAGGGTAAAGAGGGAGGAAGGTGAAGGTGGGGTAAGCACATGTTCCCAACCGAGTTTGTACACAGACAGCTGCCCTGGGCAGACAATCGAGGCTGGACCTCTGCTGGGGGGAAGGGGCCAGTCCTGTGAAAGGAAGCACCACGGGCAGATAGGATAGAGGGGGAGTCATCATGCAGTGGAAGCAGGGAAGGCACAGGCCCCATTCAATGCCCCAGACCCTTACCGGATAAGCCCATCCTCAGCAGCACTCCAGAATGTGTTAGGCCACATGGGTGCTGTGGCGATGCGTTTCACTCGATTTGTGTGGTCTCCAAACATGTGGATAGTCTCCTTTACTGTCAGGTCGTGGACATGCACCTTGGAGTCAGCTGCCCCAGTGATCAAGATGCGGTCGCCAGCGTGAGGCAGGAACTGCTCGAGAAATTGAAGAAGAGTTTGGCAGATGGTAGGAGGAGAGTTGCCCATGGAAGGAGACTAGCCTGGATGTCAACACCCCTTTCCTTCTCCACATTGGATAAGAAAATGAGCCCATCCAAGACAATCCACCAAAAAAACTTTGGATCTTGAGCAGTAGCCTATATGCCTAAAGGTCAAAATCAAGACATGCACCTTTATTTTCAAGAGTGGTCCTGACCTATGCCAAGTTGGACTGCCTGAGGAACCCTCTTTATTTGATCCCTCTCCAAGTAAGAGCTGAGTGAATGATAATCACAGCTGTTAGCATTTACTAAGCATTTACCATGTGCTAGACATCAGGGCAGCTACTTTAACTTATTGATACTTAAAACAGCCCCATTAAAAATTGAGGTTCAGCACTAACATGCAGGACTGTGTTCAAACCCAAGTCTGTCTGGCTCCCACTTGCCATACTGCTTCGTGATGACTATTTCATAACTTCAGATTAAGTAATAAATCAGTCCTAAAGTGAAAAGGATTTTCATTGTTTTAAGAGAGTAGATGTTTTAAACCGGTTCAACTGTTTGTGGAGAACAATCTGGCAATAGGTAACAACGAAAATAAAAACTATTTCTATCGTTTGACCTAAAACTTCCACTTCAAAGAAATAATCCAAAAAGAAAAAAGGGACCTGTATAGAAACACTCAGAGCAGCTCTCCTTATACTAGCAAATAATGGAAACAGCTCAAATGTTGAACCTTGGGGAAGGGCTGAGCATTGAGAGGATACATCTCTATGCAGCTATTATAAAGAATGAGAACCGCACCATTCTGATGAAGTTGAGAACAAAATACTGCAGATGACATCTGGTAAGAACAAAACAGTTGCAGATAGATTCAAATAATGAAAAAAAAAAAAGTATGCACCTTCCTATCACCTAACTTTAAGGAAGAAAAATATTTGGGGGTGGTGTTAGTTGAATTCTTCTCTCCTCTCTTGAGTTCAAAAGATTAAAATATCTTTTTTTTTTTTTTTAATTGTAAAGTTCATTCCAACCCACAACAGGCTTGGGTGGTGGTGGTGATGGGTGTGGGGGTAGGGCATTATTCTGCATTTAAACAACTAAAGTCCCATTTGATTTTATATGTTCACGCAAGAGCAAAAATTCACTCTTTCCACATGTGCTTCTCTAAGGGCTCATTAGGATAAGGGATAGCTAAAATATACGGAATTTAATCATTTTTAGGAACAATCAGTAGTCTTTAATCCTGTCTGGAAACAGCGTATACTCCACGCACAGTAGAAATAAGTGGGAGGGCCGGCCCGTGGCTCACTTGGGAGAGTGCGGTGCTGATAACACCAAAGCCATGGGTTTGGATCCTTACATAGGGATGGCCAGTTAGCTCACTTGAGAGAGTGTGGTGCTGACAACACCAAGTCAAGGGTAAAGATCCCCTTACCGGTCAAAAAAAATAAAAAGAAAAAAAGAAACAGGGGAGTCCTTGTAATGCCCTGTGGCTCCTGCCACACTCGTCACACACTGTAGTTGCCACCAGGGGGAGCGCAAGGGTTAAATAAATACATCTGTAGTACTGATGAACTAAAGAGAGAAGAATCTTCCATGCTTTTTTAAACAGAGGAAGAGGCTGAGAGTCCGTGTATAAGCATCTTGCCCAAGGTCTTACCATTCAGGAGTATCAAGACCATTGACAAATTCTGGTCTCTATTAGTGAGGTATTCAAAGGACAGTGCTCCATGAGTGCTCCCTACCTCAGGGATAGGACAGTTACTATATCTTCGAAAGGCTGTTCTGCCTTTTTCAAATAGCTCTAAGCATTAGACAATTCCTTCCTTCTTCAGGCCCACATTTGTTTCTATGGCCACTAGTCCTAGGTCTGTTCTCTGGGATCAAAAAGGACAAGTCTCACGTCACTTCCACATAACAGGGCTTCAAAGGTCACATGTAAGTCCCCTTCCCCCATCTCCTCAGCTCACCTCTCCACTACAACAAATGAAAAGATTAATTTCCTATGAAAAGGCAGAATAGCTAAAAGCACCTAGCGCAGTTTGTTTTTTTTTTCCTTAAAAAGATGACCATAAGGGGATCTTAACCCTTGACTTGGTGTTGTCAGCACCACGCTCTCCCAAGTGAGCTAATTGGCCATCCCTATATAGGGATCCAAACCCGTGGCCTCAGTATTATCAGCATCACACTCTCCCAAGTGAGCCACGGGCTGGCCCCTTACCACAGGCTTTTTAAAACCCAAACATCTCACTGAAGTGTAATATCAATGCTATAGATTGCAGCTTTCTTTCTAAAAATATTAAGTGATTTATTTATTCATTGTTCATGGGTCTGGGAGACTTTCCTTAGCTACTTCCCTTTTACAAATGAGTACCTGTACCAGCCAGCCGCCAAAAAACCCCAAAACATCTAGCAAAGCTTTTGGCTGGCCAGTTAGCTCAGTTGGTTAGAGCGCAGCCTCATAACACCAAGGTCAAGGGTTCGGTTCCCCATCCCAACCAGACAGCCGCAAAAAAAAAAAAAAAAAAAAAAAAAAANGATTAGTGAGGTATTCAAAGGACAGTGCTCCATGAGTGCTCCCTACCTCAGGGATAGGACAGTTACTATATCTTCAAAAGGCTGTTCTGCCTTTTTCAAATAGCTCTAAGCATTAGACAATTCCTTCCTTCTTCAGGCCCACATTTGTTTCTATGGCCACTAGTCCTAGGTCTGTTCTCTGGGATCAAAAAGGACAAGTCTCACGTCACTTCCACATAACAGGGCTTCAAAGGTCACATGTAAGTCCCCTTCCCCCATCTCCTCAGCTCACCTCTCCACTACAACAAATGAAAAGATTAATTTCCTATGAAAAGGCAGAATAGCTAAAAGCACCTAGCGCAGTTTGTTTTTTTTTTCCTTAAAAAGATGACCATAAGGGGATCTTAACCCTTGACTTGGTGTTGTCAGCACCACGCTCTCCCAAGTGAGCTAATTGGCCATCCCTATATAGGGATCCAAACCCGTGGCCTCAGTATTATCAGCATCACACTCTCCCAAGTGAGCCACGGGCTGGCCCCTTACCACAGGCTTTTTAAAACCCAAACATCTCACTGAAGTGTAATATCAATGCTATAGATTGCAGCTTTCTTTCTAAAAATATTAAGTGATTTATTTATTCATTGTTCATGGGTCTGGGAGACTTTCCTTAGCTACTTCCCTTTTACAAATGAGTACCTGTACCAGCCAGCCGCCAAAAAACCCCAAAACATCTAGCAAAGCTTTTGGCTGGCCAGTTAGCTCAGTTGGTTAGAGCGCAGCCTCATAACACCAAGGTCAAGGGTTCGGTTCCCCATCCCAACCAGACAGCCGCAAAAAAAAAAAAAAAAAAAAAAA